TTCGTTCCAGTCACGCAAAACACGTTCACGGCTACACGGTGCTGTACACGTGACTTGATAAATATTGCCCACAAGCCCCGCCCACACGGAACCCTAACCCTAACCCTACACCTATTTATTGACACCTAACTTAAGTGTACGTTGAACTTAAAAGCGTGTTCGCTTTGTTATTTCGCTATATTTACGCTGTGGTAATATTTTACGATGTTCGTTATATTACATTTGACCGCTCTAACGTTTGCCAACGTCTACGTGAATGACTTCTGATCTAAGCCAATCACAGATACTAAATCGCTCCGATTGGCAAATCCTGTCACAGGAGGCGGGGCTTTGTCGTGAGGGGAAAACTGTTTTGGTTTAGGGGCTTTTCCTTTTATGGAAAAGGTGGGCGGGGCTTTTTGCGTCATTCTCCACGGTCGCATCCCATTGGTCGTCGAGCACTAAGCTATAGAATGTGACCGCGGAGAGGCGTGTTGATGATAAACCGCTGAAACTCAAACACATTATCGAGTCAGTTGTGTTATGTAACGCTAATAGACCTTATTCAGAGCTGTGAGGGATAGACTTACTGTGTTTTTAATGGCATCCGCTGTAAAAAGCGGTATAATGTATGTCTATCCCTCTCACTGCATCGCTTTCATTCCCGTTAGAAACCAAAGATGGCGCTGGTGTGAATAAGGCCTTAAAGTGATAGTTCCCACAAAAACAAAATTAAACATTTTTATGTCATCACTTACTTTCCCTTAAGCTGTTCCAACCCTGTATGAATTTCTTTCTACAGCTGAACACAAAGGAAGATATTTTGAACAATGTTAACCACTCTGTAAAGCACTTTGGTCCGCCTATAGTGGCTGTTGTAAATGTGCTATTTAAATAAAATTCAACTTGAACAATGCGGTTACCAAACAGTTGATGTATCCCATTGACTCCATAGCATGGGAAAAAATACCAGGGAAGTCAGTGAACGGAACCAAATACGGTTTGGTTACTGACATTCTTCAAAATATCTTCTTGTGTTTAGCAGAAATATACAAATACATTTCACATCAAACAGAGGTGGAGGACACAAACATCATGCTGTGGATAATATTATAACATACTAAAGGCCCGTTAACACCAACACGGGACACAATTTTGACTTTTTATGTCATAATTTCAACTTTTAATCTTATAAATATTACTTAGTATGTCAATAAAAAAATTTCATCTCATTAATATGATTTAGCATGTAATAATTCTAAATTTCTATGTCATAATTTAAATTCTGATTTACAAAAGCATGTTTTTTTCCGGCAGCTGGAGACAACAAACAGAAATCCACTCACAGCATTCTGATGAAACAAATCGGATATATTTCTTTAAATATTGTGAGTTTATTGTTTTATAAAATATATTAAGACACATTTGATGGGGACATGTACATGCACTGTATTTACTAACTTATTAAAAACTAAATTATTTTTTATTTTTTACAATTTTATTATAAAGAATGCAGGCCGTTGAACTCGTGAGCGACACCAAAGTACAGTATTTCACATCTGCTCACGTGTCTATTCCCTGATAAAGTCTGGTCATCTCCTTCAGTTAGGCAGATTATGTTTATTGTAACACACATCTCTTAATAACAATTCAAACATGCCTATAAATAGATTTAATGTGTCAGATCAACTGATGTCATTATAGTCATTGCAATATAAACAAAAAAACGTTTCTTGATCGTTAACCACACATTGTGTCCACATAATGTCCAGAAGGGCTGTGTGATGATGATGATGATGATGATGATGATGATGATGATGATGAAGGAAAACGAAGGTGCCTGTTTGCCATAGCGATCGTCACATCTGCAGCAGATACACACAAATGGATCATTTAAAAAATAAAATAAACAAAATATGTGCACATCATTATTGTGTTAATAATGTTGAATCAGAATCAGTTCCTCTTGCAGGATCTCTTCTCTTCTCTGATGATGTGGGCGGGGCAACCTGTCACTCACATGAGATCAGCCAATAGCAAACCACAACAATCCAATCAATTCCCCACAGACACAATCTAGCCCCGCCCACATCGACACACTAGAGGAGAGAAGACTAACTTTAACATGTCCACATATTTTTTCTCTGTTTTGTCTTCAGTCCACAATAAGACAGCGTTTTGTTTATACTGTTATTGTGCGGTTCACTTTTACACAGTTGCTAAAACACGTTCCTTCACACACTCTTCATCACAGTCCTGCACACATGACAGAATACACTCGCATTTGCTGCGGTGAAACAGGAGCAGTTTTAGCGTTTTAGACCAAATATGTAATATGTTTCCGTCTGTATCATCTGAGAGCTTCTGTGAGGGTTTACGCATGCGCAGTGAAGGGGAATTTAGCGTTTTCCAAAAGTTTCTCATCCACACAGAACAACACTAGTGTGGACGGAGCGCCGTTTTCAAATGTACCCGGATGAATGCAGATGTAGATGAACGTGAGAGTGTCACCTGACACCGGCAGCGTCTCAATCCCGGTGTTTTCTTCCTCTCCGTCTCCTCCTGCGTTTTCCCTTCCGTCTCCGATTGCTGAGAACAACAACATTCTCAGAGATGTTCTTCTGTGTCATTTAGATGCAAGAAAATAAATCAAGGAATTAATACTCACTGTTGATTCCTCAAGTGGTGTCGTCTGGGCCTGAATGACAAAAAGTAAGTTAGATAGATGGATAGATAAAGAGCCGGAGGAGTGGAACGGCAGATGAGCGGGATCATACCTGCACTCACAGCTCTGGTGTTCCTGAAAGGAAAGAAGCACATATTCCCTGCTCCTCTCCGCTGGAGTGATTCTCAGCAGCTGATGGAGAAAACAAACACACACACACACACACACAGAGAGACAGAGAGATGGAGAGAGAGAGAGAGACACACACACGTGTAAGTTCATAAGTCGACAGCATTGCTGAGTATTTCCTCCTTAAAACTGCAGTGAACCAAAGACAGTCTCAAAAACACGAAATCGCTGGTGTTTCTGACGTCACAAACGACCTTGTAACCAATCAGATCAACGTGTGATCGTCAACCAGTGGATCTCTGAGCTGAGGGAGTGAGTGGAGGTGGGGCTCATTTGCATATTCATAGAACCACGCATACTAAATGAGGCGAGGGTGTCGAGTTACATTCAAGATATTTTAAGGCATGGAGACATTTTTTCCAAGGAAAAAACGTTTAAATGTGTAATTTAGGTGTTTTAAGGGATACAATTATTGACTGCAGGGGGACTTAAAATTATTGAAAAAAATATTAACTCTGGATTACGTCAAGTAAGGGGTTCCATTAAACTTTGGAAATCAAAGTCACTAATTTAAATAAAATGTGTCTTTGTACACGTCAAACCAGCTGCTGATAATCAAAGCCCGTCGCATGATGTATCAGATCAACGGTGGAAAGGTAGATAAAAACGTTAGCAGCAAACGAGAGGGTGTCAATAATGCCAGAACTGTCCTTCTGATGCGACACTGAGCAATTTTGCATTTAAAAGACGTCTAATAGCGTCCAAACACAGCCTGACATCTAGGCTAAAACAAGGCAAAAGTGAAAATGTAATGGACGTCAAACCCAGAGCCCAAGAATAGACTAGTCATCAATTAGATAACAAACAAATGAGTGAAGAAATTAAACCAAACACCTTGTAATCACTGTTGACTTTGCTTACATGGTTATTTTGTTATTTTGGCAAAAACGACATGTAACCAAATACAAGGTTATTTTGGCTAGAAGTGTGTTACTCATAGCCGGACTATATCGGGTCTATAGTTAACCTACTCATAGCTGGACTATATCGGGTATATAGTTAATCTAGATGGAGAAATGACGGCTATTGCTTGCTGGGAGATCTTGCCTGGATGGTGAGGTTGCGCGTGCGGATGGGGAAGCAGGCCAGCTTCTCGTCATTGCAGCAGCCGGAGCAGCGCAGCAATGGGACACAGCCGGGACTGTATATGTGCTCAACGCCTCCAGGATACTCCTGATCCACCTCCACCATCCGCTCCGTGGAGTGACACAGGCCGCGGCTCCAGGCCTCCGGGAACAGCATCACTGCAACACGACATCAGCACTTACTGCAACTGCTCACTGCAACTTCTCACTGCAACACAACTGCTCACTGCAACTGCTTACTGCAACAACTGCTCACTGCAACTGCTTACTGCAACACGGACATCAGCACTTACTCCAACTGCTCACTGCAACTGCTCACTGCAACAACTGCTCACTGCAACTGTTCACTGCAACACGGACATCAGCACTTACTCCAACTGCTCACTGCAACTGCTCACTGCAACAACTGCTCACTGCAACAACTGCTCACCGCAACTGCTCACTGCAACTGCTCACTGCAACTGCTCACTGCAACGCAACTGCTCACTGCAACTTCTCACTGCAACACAACTGCTCACTGCAACTGCTTACTGCAACTGCTCACTGCAACTGCTCACTGCAACTGCTCACTGCAACTGCTCACTGCAACACAACTGCTCACTGCAACTTCTCACTGCAACACAACTGCTCACTGCAACTGCTTACTGCAACACAACTGCTCACTGCAACACAACTGCTCACTGCAACTGCTCACTGCAACACAACTGCTCACTGCAACACAACTGCTCACTGCAACACAACTGCTCACTGCAACTGCTCACTGCAACTGCTCACTGCAACACAACTGCTCACTGCAACTTCTCACTGCAACACAACTGCTCACTGCAACTGCTTACTGCAACACAACTGCTCACTGCAACTGCTTACTGCAACAACTGCTCACTGCAACTGCTTACTGCAACACAACTGCTCACTGCAACTGCTCACTGCAACAACTGCTCACAGCAACAACTGCTCACTGCAACACAACTGCCCACTGCAACACAACTGCCCACTGCAACAACTGCTCACAGCAACAACTGCTCACAGCAACAACTGCTCACTGCAACTGCTCACTGCAACTTCTCACTGCAACACAACTGCTCACTGCAACTGATCACTGCAACTCCTCACTGTAACAACTGCTCACTGCAACTGCTTACTGTAACAACTGCTCACTGCAACTGCTCACTGCAACAACTGCTCACAGCAACAACTGCTCACAGCAACAACTGCTCACTGCAACAACTGCTCACAGCAACAACTGCTCACAGCAACAACTGCTCACAACTGCTCACTGCAACAACTGCTCACTGCAACTGTTCACTGCAACAACTGCACACTGCTACAACTGCTCACAGCAACAACTGCTCACTGCAACAACTGCTCACTTTAACAACTGCTCACGGCAACAACTGCTCACTGCAACAACTGCTCACTGCAACAACTGCTCACTGCAACTTCTCACTGCAACACAACTGCTCACTGCAACTGCTCACTGCAACTCCTCACTGCAACTCCTTACTGCAACACGGACATCAGCACTTACTCCAACTGCTCACTGCAACAACTGCTCACTGCAACAACTGCTCACTGCAACAACTGCTCACAGCAACAACTGCTCACAGCAACAACTGCTCACTGCAACTGCTCACTGCAACAACTGCTCACTGCAACAACTGCTCACTGCAACAACTGCTCACTGCTACAACTGCTCACGGCAACAACTGCTCACTGCAGCTGCTCACTGCAACTGCTCACTGCAACAACTGCTCACTGCAACAACTGCTCACTGCAACAACTGCTCACTACAACAACTGCTCACTACAACAACAACTGCTCACTGCAACAACTGCTCACTGCAACAACTGCTCACAGCAACAACTGCTCACTGCAACAACTGCTCACTGCAACAACTGCTCACTGCAACAACTGCTCACAGCAACAACTGCTCACTGCAACTGCTCACTGCTACAACTGATCACTGCAACTGCTCACTGCAACAACTGCTCACTGCAACAACTGCTCACTGCAACAACTGCTCACTGCTACAACTGCTCACGGCAACAACTGCTCACTGCAGCTGCTCACTGCAACTGCTCACTGCAACAACTGCTCACTGCAACAACTGCTCACTGCAACAACTGCTCACTACAACAACTGCTCACTGCAACAACTGCTCACTGCAACAACTGCTCACTGCAACAACTGCTCACTGCAGCTGCTCACTGCAACAACTGTTCACTGCAACTGCTAACTGCAACAACTGCTCACTGCATTAACTGCTCACTGCAACAACTGCTCACTGCAACAACAACTGCTCACTACAACAACAACTGCTCACTGCAACAACTGCTCACTACAACAACTGCTCACTGCAACAACTGCTCACTGCAACAACTGCTCACTGCAACAACTGTTCACTGCAACTGCTAACTGCAACAACTGCTCACTGCAACAACTGCTCACTACAACAACAACTGCTCACTGCAACTGCTCACTGCAACTGCTCACTGCAACTGCTCACTGCAACAACTGCTCACTACAACAACTGCTCCCTACAACGACTGCTCACTACAACGACTGCTCACTACAACAACTGCTCACTGCAACAACTGCTCACTGCAACTGCTCACTGCAACTGCTCACTGCAACAACTGCTCACGGCAACAACTGCTCACTGCAACAACTGATCACTGCAACAACTGATCACTGCAACTGCTCACTGCAACAACTGATCACTGCAACTGCTCACTGCTACAACTGATCACTGCAACTGCTCACTGCTACAACTGATCACTGCAACTGCTCACTGCTACAACTGATCACTGCAACTGTTCACTGCTACAACTGCTCACGGCAACAACTGCTCACTTTAACAACTGCTCACTGCAACAACTGCTCACTGCAACAACTGCTCACTGCTACAACTGCTCACGGCAACAACTGCTCACTGCAGCTGCTCACTACAACTGCTCACTGCAACAACTGCTCACTGCAGCTGCTCACTGCAACAACTGTTCACTGCAACTGCTCACTGCAACAACTGCTCACTGCAACAACTGCTCACTGCAACAACAACTGCTCACTACAACAACAACTGCTCACTACAACAACTGCCCACTGCAACTGATCACTGCAACAACTGCTCACTGCAACAACTGCTCACTACAACAACAACTGCTCACTGCAACAACTGCTCACTGCAACAACTGCTCACTGCAACTGATCACTGCAACAACTGCTCACTACAACAACTGCTCACGGCAACAACTGCTCACTTTAACAACTGCTCACTGCAACAACTGTTCACTGCAACTGCTCACTGCAACAACTGCTCACTGCAACAACTGCTCACTGCAACAACTGCTCACTGCAACAACTGCTCACTGCAACTGCTCACTACAACACAACTGCCCACTGCAACACAACTGCCCACTGCAACTGTTCACTGCAACAACTGTTCACTGCAACAACTGTTCACTGCAACAACTGTTCACTGCAACTGCTCACTGCAACAACTGCTCACTGCAACACAACTGCTCACTGCAACAACTGCTCACTGCAACAACTGCTCACTGCAACAACTGCCCATTGCAACTGCTCACTACAACAACTGCTCACTGCAACAACTGCCCACTGCAACTGCTCACTGCAACAACTGTTCACTGCAACTGTTCACTGCATCTGCTCACTGCAACAACTGCTCACTGCAACACAACTGCTCACTGCAACTGCTCACTACAACAACTGCTCACTGCAACAACTGCCCACTGCAACTGCTCACTGCAACAACTGCTCACTGCAACAACTGCCCATTGCAACTGCTCACTACAACAACTGCTCACTGCAACAACTGCCCACTGCAACTGCTCACTGCAACAACTGTTCACTGCAACTGTTCACTGCAACACAACTGCCCACTGCAACACAACTGCCCACTGCAACACAACTGCCCACTGCAACTGCTCACTACAACAACTGCTCACTGCAACTGCTAACTGCAATTGCTCTCTGCAACAACTGTTCACTGCAACTGCTCACTTTAACACAACTGCCCACTGCAAATGCTCTCTGCAACAACTGCTCACTGCAACACAACTGCTCTCTCCAACAACTGCTCACTGCAACACAACTGCCCACTGCAACTGCAACAACTGCTCACTGCAACACAACTGCCCACTGCAACTGCTCACTGCAACAACTGCTCACTGCAACAACTGCTCACTGCAACAACTGCCCACTGCAACTGCTCACTACAACAACTGCTCACTGCAACTGCTCACTGCAACAACTGTTCACTGCAACCGCTCACTGCAACACAACTGCCCACTGCAACACAACTGCCCACTGCAACTGCTCACTACAACAACTACTCACTGCAACTGCTAACTGCAACTACTCACTGCAACAACTGCTCACTGCAACAACTGCAACAACTGCTCACTGCAACAACTGCTCACTGCAACTGTTCACTGCAACAACTGATCACTGCAACTGCTCACTGCAACAACTGTTCACTGCAACTGCTCACTGCAACAACTGCTCACTGCAACAACTGCTCACTGCAACAACTGCTCACTGCAACAACTGCTCACTGCAACACAACTGCCCACTGCAACACATCACTACAACAACTGCTCACTGCAACAACTGCTCACCGCAACAACTGCTCACTGCAACAACTGCTCACTGCAACACAACTGCCCACTGCAACTGCTCACTACAACAACTGCTCACTGCAACTGCTCACTGCAACTGCTCACTGCAACACAACTGCCCACTGCAACAACTGTTCACTGCAACAACTGATCACTGTAACTGCTCACTGCAACAACTGCTCACTGCAACAACTGCTCACTGCAACAACTGATCACTTTAACACAACTGCCCACTGCAACTGCTCACTACAACAACTGCTCACTGCAACTGCTCACTGCAACAACTTTTCACTGCAACTGCTCACTGCAACACAACTGCCCACTGCAACACAACTGCCCACTGCAACTGCTCAATACAACAACTGCTCACTGCAACTGCTCACTGCAACAACTGTTCACTGCAACTGCTCACTGCGACACAACTGCCCACTGCAACTGCTCACTGCAACAACTGCTCACTGCAACACAACTGCTCTCTGCAACAACTGCTCACTGCAACACAACTGCCCACTGCAACTGCTCACTGCAACAACTGCTCACTGCAACAACTGTTCACTACAACTGCTCACTGCAACACAACTGTTCACTGCAACTGCTAACTGCAACTCAACTGCTCACTGCAACTGCTCTCTGCAACAACTGCTCACTGCAACTGCTCACTGCAACTCAACTGCTCACTGCAACTCAACTGCTCACTGCAACTCAACTGCTCACTGCAACTGCTCTCTGCAACTGCTCACTGCAACACAACTATTCACTACAACTGCTCACTGCAACTGCTCTCTGCAACAACTGCTTACTGAAACTGCTCTCTGCAACTGCTCTCTGCAACAACTGCTCACTGCAACTGCTCTCTTCAACAACTGCTCACTGCAACAACTGCTCACTGCAACACAACTGCTCACTGCAACTGCTCACTGCAACACAACTGCTCACTGCAACTGCTCACTGCAACTGCTCACTGCAACTGCTCACTGCAACACAACTGCTCACTGCAACTGCTCACTGCAACACAACTGCTCACTGCAACTGCTCACTGCAACTGCTCACTGCAACTGCTCACTGCAACAACTGCTCACTGCAACAACTGCTCACTGCAACAACTGCTCACTGCAACAACTGCTCACTGCAACACAACTATTCACTACAACTGCCCACTGCAACACAACTATTCACTACAACTGCTCACTGCAACTGCTCTCTGCAACTGCTCACTGCAACACAACTATTCACTGCAACTGCTCACTGCAACACAACTATTCACTACAACTGCTCACTGCAACTGCTCTCTGCAACTGCTCACTGCAACACAACTATTCACTACAACTGCTCACTGCAACTGCTCTCTGCAACAACTGCCCACTGCAACTGCTCTCTGCAACAAAACTGCTCACTGCAACACAACTGCTCACTGCAACTGCTCTCTGCAACAACTGCTCACTGCAACACAACTGCTCACTGCAACTGCTCTCTGCAACAACTGCTCACTGCAACACAACTATTCACTACAACTGCTAACTGCAACTGCTCACTGCAACTGCTCACTGCAACTGCTAACTGCAACTGCTCACTGCAACAACTGACATGAAAAAAGTTTTATAAATGCTTGTATTTTCAGATCAACACTTAAAAAGTATTTAGAATATCATCCAGATATCAATACATTTCTATGGAGTGTTAAATACACTAGGGGGTGTTCGGCTCGAGGTCATGGTGCAAAGGACCCTAGGTTGAAATTACTCCGAACCATCCCTTTAATAGCAATATTTTGTTTTAATTGTAAAAATGCCAAAAGCATATTACAAATTATAATCGAACCTAAAATTTTATAAAAATGTATAAAAACTATAGTACATGGATAATAGTAAAATAACAATGTAAAATTATTTTACCTTTGGAGTGGGAATTGGCCAGAATAGTAGAAACCTGTTTAAAGAAAAAGGTAATTAATAATAAAAATAAAGTGGTAACACTTAACGTTGATTAATGCATGCATTAACTAACATTAACAATAAGAAATGAGTATTCAAGTATTAACATTGTAACTAATAATTGAATTGTTACAATGTTAATACTTGAATACTAATTTCTTATTGTTAATATTAGTTATACAACTTTTCATTGTTAGTTCAAGTCAGCTCAGGTCCATTAAATAATATTAACCATCTACATTTTTGATTTTAATAATGCATTAATACATGTAAAAATGATTAGGGTTGGCATGGCAATCGGAAATCGATTCCAAATCTGTAATTGAATACTTGAGGTCAGGAATCGGATACTTATTATAAAATAAAATTTTTGATTCCTCTTATTGATTCCTCTGTGAACATTTCAATATGACTTTAAACCATTGAAGCGTGAGAGACTCTGTGTTCATGTGTATCAGTGTATTGGACCCATGCAGCTCTTAAAGTGACAGCACTAATATTCCTCTGTCTCTATAATAATCACACAACAGAAGACTGAGAGAAAATTCACTCGTTCTTCACTGAATAACTTTTGTAACTATATTTGTAATGTGTATTTTATTTATAAAGGCCAGTTGTTACATGTATGTCCTGTGTTTCCCCCGTTCTTTGTGTATTTGGTTCAGTCCTGTTTCCAGTTTCCCGCTCCTCGTTAGTGTTTAGTTTATTCACCTGTGTCTAGTTCATTTGCCCCAGCTGTGCCTTGTTTCCCTAATCTGTTCTCTGTGTATGTAAACACTGTGTTCTCCCTCACTCCTTGTCGGTTCTCGTTCGTATGTACGTTTGTGTTTGGTGTGTAAAGTTACAGTGTTGTCCTGAGTTTGGAATTAAATCCTGTTTACTTCTATTCTTCGTCTCCTCGTGCTTCCTACCACCGTGTACCGTAACAGAAGAACCGACCAAAAAGTAAAGAAAGAAGGGAAGATGGAGAGCTGGAAGCAGGCCTTTGTGGGAACCCGCCAAGCTGTGTTCCGTGGGACCCGTGGAGGCCGCAGTGGAGGCGGTGGTCGAGAGGAGTCCCGACACAACTCTCCACTCTGGCCTCTCTTCGATCCTGGGTTGGTGGTGTCCAGTTCAGCCAAGCCTTCGCCGCTGGTTCCATCCAGCAGCAGGCCCTCTACACCGCTGGTTCCATCCAGCACCAAGCCCTCTTCACCGCTGGTTCCGTCCAGCACCAAGCCCTCTTCGCCGCTGGTTCCGTCCAGCACCAAGCCCTCTTCGCCGCTGGTTCCGTCCAGCACCAAGCCCTCTTCGCCGCTGGTTCCATCCAGCACCAGGCCCTCTTCACCGCTGGTTCTGTCCAGCACCAAGCCCTCTTCACCGCTGGTTCTGTCCAGCACCAAGCCCTCTTCGCTGCTGGTTCCGTCCAGCACCAAGCCCTATTCGCCGCTGGTTCCGTCCAGCCCAGCCAAGCCTGCACCGCTGGTTCTGTCCAGCCAATCCGAGCCAGAGCCCGCTGATCCTGCGCCGGAGCCCGCTGATCCTGCGCCGGAGCCCATTCATGCTGCACTTGAGTCTGCTCTGGAAGACACAGCGCTCATTGTGGTGTCCGTGGCTGTTTTGTGTGTGTGGGCAGCACACACATCAACTACAGCCCATGAACCCAGCCTAGAGCTTCCCCGCACGCCTGCCGAGCCAGAGCTTCCCCGCACGCCTGCCGAGCCAGAGCTTCCCCGCACGCCTGCCGAGCCAGAGCTTCCCCGCACGCCTGCCGAGCCAGAGCTTCCCCGCACGCCTGCCGAGCCAGAGCTTCCCCGCACGCCTGCCGAGCCAGAGCTTCCCCGCACGCCTGCCGAGCCAGAGCTTCCCCGCACGCCTGCCGAGCCAGAGCTTCCCCGCACGCCTGCCGAGCCAGAGCTTCCCTGCACGCCTGCCGAGCCAGAGCTTCCCTGCACGCCTGCCGAGCCAGAGCTTCCCTGCACGCCTGCCGAGCCAGAGCTTCCCTGCACGCCTGCCGAGCCAGAGCTTCCCTGCACGCCTGCCGAGCCAGAGCTTCCCTGCACGCCTGCCGAGCCACAGCTTCCCTGCACGCCTGCCCACCCAGAGACTGTCCACGTCCCAGAGCCTGTCCCAGAGCCTGTGATTCCCCCCAAGAAAGTTTTGGGGGGGGGATATAGGCCACCTGAAGGTGCGTCTCCGCCATGGCCGCCCGAAGGTGCCTCTCCACCATGGCCACCTGAAGTGGCCTCTCCACCATGGCCACCCGAGGGACAGTCTCCACCCTGGCCACCTGAAGTGGCCTCTCCACCCTGGCCACCTGAAGTGGCCTCTCCACCCTGGCCACCTGAAGTGGCCTCTCCACCCTGGCCACCTGAAGTGGCCTCTCCACCCTGGCCACCCGAGGGAAAGTCTCCACCCTGGCCACCCGAGGGAAAGTCTCCACCCTGGCCACCCGAGGGAAAATCTCCGCCCTGGCCTCCTGCACGTCCTGCTCCGCCCTGGCCTCCTGCACGTCCTGCTCCGCCCTGGCCTCCTGCATGTCCTGCTCCGCCCTGGAGGCTTCCTGCTCCGGGTAGGCCACTCCCTCGTCAGCCTCCAGGGCGCCCACCCCCCCACCCTTATTGATGTTACTCGGCGCGAGGACGCGCCTTGCAGGAGGGGGAGCTAATGTTACATGTATGTCCTGTGTTTCCCCCGTTCTTTGTGTATTTGGTTCAGTCCTGTTTCCAGTTTCCCGCTCCTCGTTAGTGTTTAGTTTATTCACCTGTGTCTAGTTCATTTGCCCCAGCTGTGCCTTGTTTCCCTAATCTGTTCTCTGTGTATGTAAACCCTGTGTTCTCCCTCACTCCTTGTCGGTTCTCGTTCGTATGTACGTTTGTGTTTGGTGTGTAAAGTTACAGTGTTGTCCTGAGTTTGGAATTAAATCCTGTTTACTTCTATTCTTCGTCTCCTCGTGCTTCCTACCACCGTGTACCGTAACACCAGTGTTATTTTACACTTGATTACAGTTTATGTACCTGGAAATCTTAAAACACTGTTTATTTCAATCTGATCTTTGTTCTGTTGTATCTATTTGTTGCCTTTTTTTTTTTTTTTTTTTTTTTTTTATACCAGTGTTTATTGTCTTTAATAATGCTTGAAGTGTATACTAGTTTGGCTAGTTGTTCTTCTATGGTGTTTTTAAACCACAGGCAAACGCTGCAGCTGATGATTTCTGCTCATGATATTCAGCTGCAATTAAATGTTTTGCAATAAGACTAAATGTGAATGATAGTTAAGTTTTTTTTTTTTACCTTATTGGAATCGAAATTAGGAATCGATAAGCAGAATCGAAATCGGAATCGTTAAAATTCAAACGATACCCAACCCTAGAAATTATCATTAACTAATATTTAAAAATATTGTAAAAGTATTTTTCACTGTTAGTTCATGTTAACTAATGTGACTTACAAATGAAGCCTAATTGTAAACTAGCACATTTCATACAAAAAAATGCTGCTCAAAAGGTTTTATAATAAATAAATAAAAATCTGCTCAAAGTCATCATACACAACAAGAAATAAAGCGTGGTATTAAATGAAAAAGAAAAGCTAGTGTTTGTCTTCCCAAGACATGTGAACTCTGTGGCTTTATTATTCTTTCATCCGCCAGTTTCAGACTCCGAGCGTAAACTGGGTCTGTCGCCACACAGAGGGTTTATTTTTATGTTTGTGTGCTCCGGGAAAGGCACGTCCCGCAGGAGCCGCAGAATGAGCCCGTCCCGTTGTGTTTGTGCGCTGGACCGCACCTGAAGGGCCCTGGTGTGCGTCCGTGGGCGTAATGAGGGAACACGGGTCTCAGATCTCAGGAACAGAGGGACGAGAGGGGTGCTAACTTTAGCCAGGAGACGTGCAGTAATGAAGCTTTCCTCACTCACTCACGCTGTCCCAGACCATTAAACAATCATCAATAATCTTCACGCAGCTCTTTTCCATGCAACAAGTCGAGTCCCCTTCATTTACACAGCGCTTTAACAATATAGCGTTTCACAGCGGCTTTACAGTGATAACTGGAGATTACAGTAACAGAGAGTGTTTAGGCTTTACAGCAGCTCTAGAATAAAGTTATTGTCCAGATAAAGTTAGTTTTGATTGATTCACTTCCGTTGTAAAGATCATTAGTGATTAACTTAGGGGCCGCTAACACGACACCGCTCTACAGAACACAGAAACTCTTAATGTGTTCTGGCCGTTTATTTGCACGTTTGGTGTGTAATTTGAGTCGATTTCAGAAGACTTAGAATATAGTGCACAAATCAAACGTCAGGGCTTTTTAAAGTCATGCACACAAAAAAAAGTTTTAAAAAACTTTCCTGCATGTGATTAGTGTTTTTGTTTCGTTTTACATTAAAGATATCTAAAAATACTCAAATTTAGATACATTTACCCATTGAAACATTGTTTTCTGAAATAAATCATCAAAATGCTTAAACAAGAAAAATAGCTTCCAATGGGGTCAAAAAATGTATTTAATTCAAAGTGAAAAAAAGTTTATTTTTCTGACCACATTGGCAGATATTTGTTCTCGTTTTAAACTCAAAACTCACTTAATTTCTCAGAAAACACTTAATATCTTCATTGTGCTTCTCTAAATGCATCTTGATTTAAGAATGTTTTGATATTTGTGCTAGAAAACAGGACAGAAACACTGAGGAAGAACATAATACTTTTTTGCAGTGCAGGTTTGATGCAACATGATGACATAATGATATCCATCTGCAGATTATGGACTACAAACCCAAAACACTACAGATGCAAATTAGCGGACCGGAGAACGTCTGGATACAAGTTGGTTTGAAGAGTTTAGATCCTCAGATACTCTTCTTATAAATTACTAATATTCCACACATTTGAAGCATTTAACACAGATTTCCTTTTGTTATTGCTATTTGGTTCACTTACATAAACTCATGAAGCAGAATTATTCCTTACAATATAGTTTATCATAAATGTATCACCTTAGCAGTTACTTTAAATTATGATAACTTGATATTAGCCATCACTGACAAATATAACCAGTACATATTTGCAGAAATTAAGCATTACAGGAACACTCTTGAAGCATCTTAAACTGTTTAAAGGATCATACGCGAACCTGAATCATTAGGATATTAGGCCTAAGTAAAGATCATGTTCCATTAAATATATATTTTTGTGAGTGAACTGAATGCAGCACAATCACGAACATAAATGCACAACTTTAATGGCGATTTTCTCAATGTTTAGATTTTTTTGCACCCTCAGATTCCAGATTTTCAATAGTTATATCTCGGCAAAATAATGTCCTATCCCAACAAATCAATGTAAATCTTATTCAGCTTTCAGATGATGTATACATCTCAATTTAAAAAAATTCACCCGCCTTGGTACTGGTTTTGTGGTCCAGGGTCACATTTATTTAAGCCAGTTGACTTGAATAACTAGTAACTTTCGTAAGGGACATCAGTTACCTGAAGAAGAGGAATGTAAGTTACCTGAAGAAGAGGAATGTAAGTTACCTGAAGAAGAGGAATGTAAGTTACCTGAAGAAAAGGAATGTAGAGCAGGAACGCGGACAGCTGCGACACACCGATGAATCTCTTCATGTCGAGCGCGCGGAGAATGATCCGGAGCCACACATCTTACTGGAGCATACACTGAACCATCTTTTAATTACCGCACAAATAATCTAAGTAACTCCTTAAAATAATCTTCAGGTGTCTAAAAATCCCAAACGGCGTTTTCCTTTTTGGGAAAAGTTTCACCGCGCGGTCTTTGTTTGGAGTGAGTCATGCACTCTATGCGTGAGTAATGCGGCAGAACTGGGTCATCAGAGGCATGAAAGCTGCACTGACTGTTTCCCTCATTCAACACGATCTCATGAAAGTGCATATACAAAGAATTTTATTTCTCGTGCCATTTATACGCCAAAAATGTGTTTTGCCTGCATATGTTACGCACTGTAAACCCCTTGGGCAGGATTAGTGGTGCGGAGTGCGTGTTTATTAACACCATAAAGTGCGTATCATATGCACGCGAAACCTGCGTATCATATCACGCAAAAACTATTTTTGGCGAATAAATAGGCTAGATATTAAGATAGATACTAGATAATAAGGTTATTTTTGAAACATTAATGTATTAACTAACATGAACAATACATTTGTTACTGTATTTGTTAATCTTTGTTAACGTTAGTTAATAAAAATACAGCTGTTCATTGTTGGTTCATGTTAGTTCACAGTGCAATAACTAATATTAACCAGATTTGAATAAAGTATTAGTAAATGTTGAAATTAACATTAACAAAGATTAATAAATGCTATATATGCCGTTCATTATTAGTTCATGTTAAAGCTGCAGTCCGCAGTTTTTCCTCTTTGTCGCCATCTATGTTCGAAATCTGGAATTTCCCGCAGAAATCCACCAGTACCACTGGAATTGACCGTTCGCAAAAGCCACGCCCCCTAGTTATTGTTGCTATGCCCGTCAAACAAATGGTCAAACACGACCAGCGCCACAGATTGCCATGACGGGAAGAGGTGCGTCAGTGACCTTTTTTGGAGCAATACCTCCGCGATATCCTCCAGATCGAGGCAAAAGGGGTTAACGTTACAGTATGCAGTGGAGGGATATATTCAAAATATAAAAATACGCAATGAAGGAGACACGACTACTATCGAGGCTAATAATGCTCTCAAGCTCTCAAACCGGTCTCAAGCGAAATCTGAGAAACCCCATGACCTGTAATGTTACCTCAAATGCAACCAGCACAGCCTTGAAGAAGATTCTATAAGCTGTTTCAGTGGCTAATTGTTTGGAGTTAGAAATATATAACTCACGCTGCATATTTAGTAATTTTGCCTCAGATACAGGATTATTCATTCGCTTTAACAAGCAGGTTGTTCATTACCACGGCAACCGCTTGCGTGTCATGCTAAATGCGATTTTCGTGTTTAAAAAGTAACTATACATAATAGACGGAGAGATGCAGATAACCATACATTATTTCTATTCGTTACGATATTGATATGAACTGATGTTGTCAAGTAAGCTTCATGCGTTCCCCGTTGCGAGCGTGCACTCCTCTAACGTTAGTCTAAACTGTAACTAACAGGTGCTGCTGCTCATTTCCCCCCTAAAATATCATGTTAACAACAACACTTTAGAAAACGTACTTCCTTTGTGGACCCTCTTGATCTGCTTTCTCCATGTGTCTTTGACTAATCTCATTGTCTCAGTCTCACGCACGCTGCACGCGAGTTAACCATGTTCGACACATTTAACTGGGAGTGGGGCCGTCCACACTGTTTTATCTATTGTAGGGACCGCGCACGTTGTGTTTTCGGCTTTTGAAACGAAAAGAACACAACTCCTCCAGACAATCTCTCGGGGTACCTAGTGTCCGATTTACAAACGCCGTGGGCGCACCGCTTCACCATCTTGCTTGGAGTCAATGTTTGACGGACCTGCTCACATAGTAACGGTTGCTATTATGTGTGATTGGACAATAGCCGTTTTGGGGGAGGGGCCTGCGAACGGTCAATTAAAAACATTATTACAAGCTTACCGTTTTGAATCGAGCTAAGCAGATCGTTTTGAACACTGGCTGGTTATGTACTTGCTCAAATTAATTTAGGATAATTTTTAACCCAAAAAAGTTACGGACTGGAGCTTTAACTAAGGTAGTTAAAAAATTGTAAATAACGAACCTTATTGTACCTTCCCGTGTATAAAGGCGCAATGTATATTAATGCTAAACTAAATATTAGTATTTTGCTAGCCAGTTAAAGCTGCAGTAGGGAGTTGAGAAAACGTTGACTTAGCCTGAAAATTTGAACAAGCACAACTTCCAGGTCCCTGCACCCCCTTGCTCTCTGCAGCGCTACAGCCCTCCCTCCACAGCTCGTCCTCCACAGCGGAGCCTGTCGTGAACGCGCAGGCTAGTAAACAGGGCCACCGATGACAGCGAATAAAAAGGTATATGGCACATTCACTAATAGGGACTAAACGTCATATGCTTTACATTGACTATGGCCTGCCCATACTTTGACTACAAACTTGGTCCTCAAATCATTATGTATTTTCCAATAGCCTACATGTAACTTTATAACGTTGCACTCTTTCTATAAGTTGTAAATAGCTAGTAAGATAACGTTAATATAACGGTAACTAACGTTACAGTATGCAAGTAAATATTCTAGCGATATATAATGCTAGATGAGGTGTGCTAGTACATTATTTCAGCAACATGACAAGCCAGTGAATTAGCAGGTTTCAGTTGTTGCTTAGCAGAGTGCGTGACATTTTATCTACATGTTATGCGGCTAGAGTTTTGACACCGAGTCAATGGGCTCTGTGTAATTCTTTCTTTTTCGCTTGTTTATCGTCATCAGTCTTTTTCCTTTTACCTCTTTGTTTTATGAGCAGGTGTCACTCGAGAATTGGCAGTTTAGGTTGTTTCTCCGTCATAAGCACAGCTGCAGCACGCCAGCAATCTGGAGTTTGAACGACTGCTCGCGCTCCGGCGCTCATGCTGTGCAAGAGAGGGGTGTGATCAGCGCGTACACGAGCGTGACTGACACTGCTAAGACATTTCTCCTGTCTCTGAATGGTTGTTTCTGACCGGGAGCGTGTATTTCTTGCAAATGGCAATAGGACCACTGGGAGGAGCCAGAGGAGCTTGATTTTTACACAGATTATCTGTCTCATATTCTACTGTCAGGACATAATGACAGTTTTAGCAAATACATTTTTTCAAAAGTTACCTACAGCAGCTTTAACCTGCCATCCATGCTTGTCATCTTTTTTTCTCTTTATCTTTTATGAGTCCATCAAACAACTGTGGTGAATAGGATCAGTCAACAAACGTGATGTCATCTGTTACGGAGAAGATTTCAGAACTTATATTGGCATTAGTGGAATTGCATTACCATGGTTTAAATCACTCTTATCTGACCGTTATCAGTTTGTAGTAGTAAACAAAGAAACGTCATATCGATCACAAGTTCAGTATGGTGTACCACAAGGCTCAGTACCAGGACCATTGCTTTTCACCCTGTACATGCTACCCTTGGGAGATATCATTAGGAAGCATGGCATTAGTTTTCACTGTTTACAAACGATTTACAAACGCCTGTGAAGAGACGACTCAACGCCTGCGAAGAGACGACTCAACGCCGGCGATATGTTATCCCCTAAATATTACATGATTAACTAAATGTATTTTTTCCAGGTACTCTCTGATATGGACTTACTGTAAAGCTTCTTTAAAACCCTATGATTGTTAGCCAGAGGAGAACTGGCCCCTGACTAGCCTGGGTTCTCCCAAGGTTTTTTTCTCCATCCAATCTGATGGAGTTTTGGTTCCTTGCCACTGTCGCCTTGCTTTTGGCTTGCTTAGTTGGGGATATTTAATATTCAACAATATTATTGAACTGTGTTGTACTACTTTCATGTTATCACTGTGAAGCTGCTTTGATGCAATCTGTATTGTGAAAAGCGCTATATAAATAAATGTGACTTGACTTGACTTGACTGTTATGCTGATGATGCACAGCTCTATATTTCTAGACGAATGTTACCAATTCACAAAATTAACGGAAGGCATTGCTGATTTAAAAAAAATGCATTACTAGTAATTTCCTACTACTTAATTCTGAAAAAAACTGAGTTTTTAATTATTGGGCAAAAAACCTCTAAATATATCAAATCTTTCGTACCAATCTTTCATTTGAAAGCCATGTTTCTAGCATCTGTAAAATCGCATTCTTCCATCTTAAAAATATATCTAAATTACAACATATACTTTCAATGAAAAATAAGGAACAGTTAGTTCATGCGTTCATGACCTCAAGGCTAGATTACTGTAATGCTCTACTGGGTGGTTGCCCTGCACGCTTAATAAACAAACTCCAGCTAGTTCAAAACGCAGCCCCTCGAGTTCTTGTTCTTACCAGAACCAGGAAGTATGACCATATTAGCCCGGTTCTGTCAACACTGCATTGGCTCCCTATTAAACATCGTATACATTTTAAAATATTGCTGATTACTTACAAAGCACTAAATGGTTTAGCTCTGCAGTACTTGAGTGAGCTTTTAAAGCATTATAGTCCTTCAAGTCTATTGGGTTCTCTAAACTCCGGCCAGTTGATAATACCTAGAATATCTAAATCGACTGCAGGCGGTAGATCCTTTTCCTATTTAGCACCAAAACTCTGGAACAGTCTTCCTAACATTGTCCGGGAAGCAGACACACTCTGTCAGTTTAAATCTAGACTAAAAACATCTTTTTAACTTGGCATACACATAGAACATTATACATGTCTACTATTCAAATCAGTTAAATGATTGTTAGGCTGCATAAACTAGGTCAGCCTTTGCCACTGGCTGCTTAGGCTGAAACTGCCGAGGAAACTGTTGACCTGCTTGTTGTTGAATTGACTGAGGAAACTGTTGACTGAGCCCGTTCTCATCCTAAGGCGTCATAAACTGACGCTTTTGACATTTCGTCTAAATCCAACGCACATGGCACCCTTTAGCGTCAATATGAGACACAGATATATATGGGCAAGAAGGCGCCTCCTAGTGGTCTAAACCTAACCCTACCCCAGACCTAAACCTACCCATAACTATATTGATGCTAAAGGGTGCCATCAGAGCCGGCCCTAGACCTTTGGGGGCCCTAAGCAAAATTTGGTTGGAGGCCCCTTTGACCGTTTTAAGGCCTAAAGAAAAGCAATGACTACCTTATAACTATACCATACTATATATATATTATATAATATACTATTATACTATATATATATTATGTATATACTATGTTTGATGTCTAACAGGAAAATTATGATACCACTGAGCTGAATGGCAGTGCAAGACACACACACACACACACACTGATTAACTTGCTGAATAAAAAGACAGATAAAGTGATTATCACTGAACAAAGATACATTTTTATTGACACCAGAGTTTAAAAGTCACAAACTACAGCACACACACATATATATATATATATATATATATATATATATATAATTTAAATTAAATAGAGCAAATAGAATAACAGTTAAATGTAATATTATATAAAATAATAAATAGATTTTTCAAATAAACAAAATTAACAATAACATCTGAAACACCACAAAGAAGATCAATAGTAACAATATTAAGAATAAGGTAACATTTCAATATAACTATTAAAATCCAATCCAAATAAAGAAAATAATTATACATAAAGTTAGACTTAAATTTTAAAATGCAGAAGGTTATCATTTTACAGCCCCTTTATACTCACCAACAGCTGGAGCTTTGCTTACTGGCAGCATATACTTTAATAGTGCTCCTAAGGGGACATAAGGAGTAAACTAATGTTAGCCCTTTAGTGTAGAATCCAAACTGGGTTTATATTGTTCTGTTAAATGCTTTAACAGTAACACCACAGCAAATGGTATAGGCCTAATACTAAACCAATTTCATGCAGCATGTTATTAGTATGTAGTTAAACAACTGTAGAAAATTAATACAAGCACGATTTAGGCTAATGTTAAAATAAGACTTTTAGTGCAGATTATCCATATTACAGAAATCGGAAAATTAAGCCTACAGGCTTACGTACCTTTATCTTCTTGCTTCTTCTCTTCTTCCAGGCTCTTTTTTGTCGTTTTTCTTGGCCAGAAAGATATTTTCGTTTATTGTCAGACATCGTCGATTCGTCGGAGTCGCTAAGGCCGTGTGTCCACCAAAGCATTTTTAGCCGGCTGAAAACGCTAGACGCTCTGCTGAAAACGCCCAGCTGTGGGCGCTTGAGAGCGTTTTGGCAGCGCAGCGTTTTTTCCGTTGAGACGCTTCGTTGCTATGATACAGAATCTGAATAGAATATTCCGATTACCGGGCGTTATTTATAGAAATGTAGCAGCTATCTAAAAAAAAATTAGCTTTGACGGTTTGCAAGCTAACGTTACGCTAACGTAGATCCCGGCCCCCACCGATCAGCTGTCTGACTGCTGATAGACCGATCGCCGATGAAATGTTCCTCCAAGCATTGTTTTTTAAATTCACATTGTGGTAATCCGGGGATGTCATCTGGTATAAACACGTATGTTCGGAGACCAGCAATATTAATTTTTCATCCATTTTGTTCAGCTCTGCTGGTTGATGTCCTTCCTTGTACACAAAGAATGTTGAATGACAGTAGGTCGGTGTGATATTAGTCCCGCCCCTCCTCCACTGTGATTGGACGGTTGGTGAAAAGTGACAGTGATGAGTGCTGCGTTTTATCCAAAAGTTGAACATTTTTCAACTCTCGGCGACCAGTAAAAACGCCGGGCGCTCAGCGCTTCAGCGTGTAAAAAACGCCGAACGCTCAGCGCTTGAGCGTTAAATACACGCTCAGCGCCTCGTTGCGCTCATGGCGTTTAAAAGACGCGGCGCTCCCATTGAAAACAATTGAAAACGTACGCCAGGCGCGAGTAAAAATGCTTTGGTGGACACACGGCCTAACTGACTGACCGAGTGACAACGAGTGACATCATACGGGCAGTCGGGATCAAGACGCGCGCGCGCGCCTTCGCGGGGAGCTCCCGGTTGATTTGCCATAATACAGAACTAAATAAATAACAACTCTGTGCTTATCATGATGCCTGATAAAGAGCGCTGTAGGTCCATTTCTTTTTATTTATTTATTTTATGTTACTTTTGTTGTGCGATTTTTCCCCCCCCACAAGCTAGCAGTGACTCTAGGGGGCCCTCTGCTGGCCACGGGGCCCTTTGCAATTGCAACGGTCGCTTAGTGGCTCGGCCGGCTCTGGGTGCCATGTCCGTTGGATTTAGACGAAATGTCAAAAGCTTCAGTTTATGACGCCTTGGGATGAGAATGCGTTGGTTGACGAGCTTGTTGTTGAACTGACTGAGGAAACCGCTGGTCAGTTTGCCGGAACATCAGAGCTTGAGGATTCTGGGGCAGATCACTCCACTTCGGAACAGCATGACAGAAAGCACAGAACCAAACACAAAGTGCCAGAGACTGAACAGCACACCAACTTCCTGCCATTGTTCAACAGCTAGTCACACTGCTGAGATGCTGCCCTTTGGTCTTTTTGTACTCTACAGACTTTGGGTAATTAATGATAATCCCTCCCTCTTCATTAATAGTCATGATTCTCCAGACTTGCACTCCAGAGTGGGATTTTATGCAACTAGGTGATTCCATTTTTCTTGTTTTTCCACCCTTTTGAACATACATAAAACCACATTGAGCTGATTTCACAATAGTATGCTAGAACTATTTCTGCCATTTGAATTCAGCCTTATTTTATCCTTCAGTAGCTGAATATTATATTAGATGTTTTAGCTATTCTGGATTGTTTTATGGCAACAGGCCTGTATATTCAGGGTATGATTCAATAACAACGATGTACTAAAAACAGAAACGTTTTTCCGTTGATATTTTCGTGGGCGGACGACAACATAGGATGACCACCTCTCCCGCATTCTGCAGCGGGACAGTCCCGAAATTGTGAGTTTTGTCCCGCAAGACATAAATAGTGTCCCGCATTTCAGTTATGTCTGTATTATTATTCTTTTTTCCTTCCCTAAAATTACAATACCACAGTAAGAAATATAATAAAAACTGTGCCTGGCATTTAAAAATCTATTTGTGCAGCCGTCATGTTCAAGTTGTGGAAATAACCAACCAACATACGCAATCGTAGAGAGGTTTTCCCACTGACGACAACTAAATGGACAGCGCAAAGAAATAAGTGCAGGCCTCATCAAAGTCTGTAAACACAGCTATACCAGCAAGAATTTCATCTCACATTCTGGATAAGAACCTCAAGAGCTGCTCAAATTGATGATTTAAAGCATGTAATCATACATCCTGATGGCCACCTACAGAAATGGTCGAGCAACTACGGAAAAATCGGCTAAGCAGAGAAAGTTTAAATCACACCTGCTAGCGCACTTCTCAAGATGTTTACGTACTAGGTCAGTAGGCGGTAGGGTACACCATGTTTTGTGGCTGTTCAAACACATGAGCATCTACTCTATGAAAGCAATCTGGTCGAATGTGTTTGACTACCTTTGGAAGTGGCCAAAAATAGACAAGCTCAAAAAAAAAATTAGCCCCTTTTTACACCACAGTCCACTTGTGACCTGATGTACAAAAATGCTTCTAAGTACCAGGTGTAAACAAGGCCTTGGACAGCTACCTAGTTGGGATACAACAGTTAAGGGATTAATGCTTAAATGAAAGCAGTCTACTTTTCAATAAACATTACTGGGACTAGCCTGGAATAAAACCACCATCAACCTGCACTCATCCTTTATCCCAAGATATGAGTCTATACTTGCGTGACTGTAAAAAAAGCATTGCAAAAAGCCAACAAGTGACCTTAGAGGAGGTTTGGGCATCAATATATGCAGTTATGCTAGTCCAGCCATAAAGTCGTATGTAAAGCCTCAAACAGACAGTAGCTAAAACCTTCATTTGATATGTGAAACATGAACAGGGGCCCAAGTGAACAACTAGAACTTGGCAAATAGTAAAGTTAAATGGCTTAGGCAGAAACCTGGCTTGTTTAGTTCAAGTCAAGAATCTCAATGGACGAAAGAAAAAGGCTTAGTAGTGCAGCCCTAGAAGTCAAACTGAGAACAGTCATGAAACATCCAACTCCAGTCAGAAATGAATACCAAAGAGAAACATGTTGAGTTTCATGAAGTTTATTAAAACACTAAAATTCACTTGACCAGGTTAACTTCTCCACTAGACACCACAGTTTGCCCACTAGAGATGGTCTTGACGTGCGTGTCTCTTCCTGTAAAAAGTGGTAGAAGCATGAGGGGCATTTAAATAAGTTCTCAGTTCCTGAAGTCAACTTACAGCAAGCACTCACTTTTCCTAGTGCAGCTTTGCTCACAGGAGCCAGAGGAGGGATGGCACACCGCTGTACTACAGTGGATGAAGATCTAACAGAGGGGGAAAGGGTTAAGCCATAGAATTACCTGTAAAAAGCACTAATATTAAGGGTTGAGGTAAGGCTGCAGAGCATACGGTTTCCTGCAGAGGAGCCAGTGATGCTGGATCTACAAATGTGAACATCTTCACAACAAAGCGCTTGTAGTGGCTCGGGAACTGAAGACCAGATGACCCAGTCACTGGAACCAATGTGGTCAGGTAACGATCATCCTGGTAAGGGCATCTGAAAGGCAAAGAGGCAGTCAGAAATGCCTTACAGCACACTAGATGGATAAAGACGGGCCTTACTCACCCATCAACCAGAAGATCCCATTGGGGTAGACTGAGTGGACTGGGGGTTGATGTCGCCCAGCAATGTCCCAGCATCAGGACAATGTTGGGGTCGGTCCTCTCCAAAATGTGCACCTCAACATACACAGGCTCCCGCAGGACTTTTGTAACTGGATAATCAGCATCACTGTAGTAGGACGTGTACGCCTCGTCCCCTGAGGAAGAATGCAGGGTTTAACTAGAAACTGGAGTTTTAGAAAGGCTTTAGGCATACTTGTACAAACACTTACCTTCTGCACAGCCTTTGGTGACACATTGACCATTTGCCAGTCTAAGCTCCACCCTGAGGGGTCCAGGAGCAGCTATTGGTGGAGGTGGAGGAACGGTGTTGACCTCCACAACCAGAGCTTCCACAGAGGTACCAGAGAACCTACACTGGAAGAGAAGCCTGGACAACAAACAGTGAGCTTGTAGCATTTGTCAATGATTCACATTTATGATAAAGCATACATCACTTACTCAAAATGGCTGTCCCTTGTGATGGAACCAAGTGGTCCGACACCCACTTCATATGAGGAGGTCATTCTGTTTTCATACACCACATATCCACTGTCCTCCTGCAAATAGTAACATTGTTGGCATCCAATCCATTCTAAGCCATGCAGAACAAAACCACAAGCAGCTACTCGCCATCATGCTTGTGCCACATGCAGTGACGGGGAACTGGTATATAGCAAAGAAAGGTGTGGATCCCACAGGACTGCAAGCTGGATCATTTCCACCCAGGAGACGGACTGAATCCAGGCTCAATCGAGGCAGCGTAACATCTCTCGCCACCACTACCACAAACTGACCATCTCTTATACACTGGACAGTCACTGGAACGAGTTACAAGAGCAGGTTATTGCTGAGGATCAGTTTAACATGAATGCCTCTACATTGACTCTACACTCTTACCTGCCTTCCCATAGTAACACTGCTGTCCATTAAAGCAGCAGTTGATAGCAGCACACTCAGCACCACTGATACCAGGTGGTCCACATTGGATCTGCTCATAATCAGCTACAGTACATTTGTCAAGTGGTTCTGCCTTTGCCACTGGCTGCTTAGGCTGAAACTGCTGAGGAAACTGTTGACCTGCTTGTTGAACTGACTGAGGAAACTGTTGACTAGCTTGCTGTTGAACCGGCTTTTGAACCTGCTGAGGAAACTGTTGACTAGCTTGTTGAACTGACTGAGGAAACTGTTGACCTGCTTGCTGTTGAACCGGCTTTTGAACCTGCTGAGGAAACTGTTGACTAGCTTGTTGAACTGACTGAGGAAACTGTTGACTAGCTTGCTGTTGAACCGGCTTTTGAACCTGCTGAGGAAACCATTGACTAGCTTGCTGTTGAACTGGCTTTTGAACCTGCTGAGGAAACCATTGACTAGCTTGCTGTTGAACCTGCTGAGGAAACCGTTGACTAGCTTGCTGTTGAACTGGCTTTTGAACCTGCTGAGGAAACCATTGACTAGCTTGCTGTTGAACTGGCTTCTGAAACCGCTGGTCAGTTTGCCGGAACATCAGAGCTTGAGGATTCTGGGGCAGATCACTCCACTTCGGAACAGCATGACAGAAAGCACAGAACCAAACACAAAGTGCCAGAGACTGAACAGCACACCAACTTCCTGCCATTGTTCAACAGCTAGTCACACTGCTGAGATGCTGCCCTTTGGTCTTTTTGTACTCTACAGACTTTGGGTAATTAATGATAATCCCTCCCTCTTCATTAATAGTCATGATTCTCCAGACTTGCACTCCAGAGTGGGATTTTATGCAACTAGGTGATTCCATTTTTCTTGTTTTTCCACCCTTTTGAACATACATAAAACCACATTGAGCTGATTTCACAATAGTATGCTAGAACTATTTCTGCCATTTGAATTCAGCCTTATTTTATCCTTCAGTAGCTGAATATTATATTAGATGTTTTAGCTATTCTGGATTGTTTTATGGCAACAGGCCTGTATATTCAGGGTATGATTCAATAACAACGATGTACTAAAAACAGAAACGTTTTTCCGTTGATATTTTCGTGGGCGGACGACAACATAGGATGACCACCTCTCCCGCATTCTGCAGCGGGACAGTCCCGAAATTGTGAGTTTTGTCCCGCAAGACATAAATAGTGTCCCGCATTTCAGTTATGTCTGTATTATTATTCTTTTTTCCTTCCCTAAAATTACAATACCACAGTAAGAAATATAATAAAAACTGTGCCTGGCATTTAAAAATCTATTTGTGCAGCCATCATGTTCAAGTTGTGGAAATAACCAACCAACATACGCAATCGTAGAGAGGTTTTCCCGCTGACGACAACTAAATGGACAGTGCAAAGAAATAAGTGCAGGCCTCATCAAAGTCTGTAAACACAGCTATACCAGCAAGAATTTCATCTCACATTCTGGATAAGAACCTCAAGAGCTGCTCAAATTGATGATTTAAAGCATGTAATCATACATCCTGATGGCCACCTACAGAAATGGTCGAGCAACTACGGAAAAATCGGCTAAGCAGAGAAAGTTTAAATCACACCTGCTAGCGCACTTCTCAAGATGTTTACGTACTAGGTCAGTAGGCGGTAGGGTACACCATGTTTTGTGGCTGTTCAAACACATGAGCATCTACTCTATGAAAGCAATCTGGTCGAATGTGTTTGACTACCTCTGGAAGTGGCCAAAAATAGACAAGCTCAAAAAAAAAATTAGCCCCTTTTTACACCACAGTCCACTTGTGACCTGATGTACAAAAATGCTTCTAAGTACCAGGTGTAAACAAGGCCTTGGACAGCTACCTAGTTGGGATACAACAGTTAAGGGATTAATGCTTAAATGAAAGCAGTCTACTTTTCAATAAACATTACTGGGACTAGCCTGGAATAAAACCACCATCAACCTGCACTCATCCTTTATCCCAAGATATGAGTCTATACTTGCGTGACTGTAAAAAAAGCATTACAAAAAGCCAACAAGTGACCTTAGAGGGGGTTTGGGCATCAATATATGCAGTTATGCTAGTCCAGCCATAAAGTCGTATGTAAAGCCTCAAACAGACAGTAGCTAAAACCTTCATTTGATATGTGAAACATGAACAGGGGCCCAAGTGAACAACTAGAACTTGGCAAATAGTAAAGTTAAATGGCTTAGGCAGAAACCTGGCTTGTTTAGTTCAAGTCAAGAATCTCAATGGACGAAAGAAAAAGGCTTAGTAGTGCAGCCCTAGAAGTCAAACTGAGAACAGTCATGAAACATCCAACTCCAGTCAGAAATGAATACCAAAGAGAAACATGTTGAGTTTCATGAAGTTTATTAAAACACTAAAATTCACTTGACCAGGTTAACTTCTCCACTAGACACCACAGTTTGCCCACTAGAGATGGTCTTGACGTGCGTGTCTCTTCCTGTAAAAAGTGGTAGAAGCATGAGGGGCATTTAAATAAGTTCTCAGTTCCTGAAGTCAACTTACAGCAAGCACTCACTTTTCCTAGTGCAGCTTTGCTCACAGGAGCCAGAGGAGGGATGGCACACCGCTGTACTACAGTGGATGAAGATCTAACAGAGGGGGAAAGGGTTAAGCCATAGAATTACCTGTAAAAAGCACTAATATTAAGGGTTGAGGTAAGGCTGCAGAGCATACGGTTTCCTGCAGAGGAGCCAGTGATGCTGGATCTACAAATGTGAACATCTTCACAACAAAGCGCTTGTAGTGGCTCGGGAACTGAAGACCAGATGACCCAGTCACTGGAACCAATGTGGTCAGGTAACGATCATCCTGGTAAGGGCATCTGAAAGGCAAAGAGGCAGTCAGAAATGCCTTACAGCACACTAGATGGATAAAGACGGGCCTTACTCACCCATCAACCAGAAGATCCCATTGGGGTAGACTGAGTGGACTGGGGGTTGATGTCGCCCAGCAATGTCCCAGCATCAGGACAATGTTGGGGTCGGTCCTCTCCAAAATGTGCACCTCAACATACACAGGCTCCCGCAGGACTTTTGTAACTGGATAATCAGCATCACTGTAGTAGGACGTGTACGCCTCGTCCCCTGAGGAAGAATGCAGGGTTTAACTAGAAACTGGAGTTTTAGAAAGGCTTTAGGCATACTTGGGACAAACACTTACCTTCTGCACAGCCTTTGGTGACACATTGACCATTTGCCAGTCTAAGCTCCACCCTGAGGGGTCCAGGAGCAGCTACTGGTGGAGGTGGAGGAACGGTGTTGACCTCCACAACCAGAGCTTCCACAGAGGTACCAGAGTACCTACACTGGAAGAGAAGCCTGGACAACAAACAGTGAGCTTGTAGCATTTGTCAATGATTCACATTTATGATAAAGCATACATCACTTACTCAAAATGGCTGTCCCTTGTGATGGAACCAAGTGGTCCGACACCCACTTCATATGAGGAGGTCATTCTGTTTTCATACACCACATATCCACTGTCCTCCTGCAAATAGTAACATTGTTGGCATCCAATCCATTCTAAGCCATGCAGAACAAAACCACAAGCAGCTACTCGCCATCATGCTTGTGCCACATGCAGTGACGGGGAACTGGTATATAGCAAAGAAAGGTGTGGATCCCACAGGACTGCAAGCTGGATCATTTCCACCCAGTAGACGGACTGAATCCAGGCTCAATCGAGGCAGCGTAACATCTCTCGCCACCACTACCACAAACTGACCATCTCTTATACACTGGACAGTCACTGGAACGAGTTACAAGAGCAGGTTATTGCTGAGGATCAGTTTAACATGAATGCCTCTACATTGACTCTACACTCTTACCTACATTGACTCTACACTCTTACCTGCCTTCCCATAGTAACACTGCTGTCCATTAAAGCAGCAGTTGATAGCAGCACACTCAGCACCACTGATACCAGGTGGTCCACATTGGATCTGCTCATAATCAGCTACAGTACATTTGTCAAGTGGTTCTGCCTTTGCCACTGGCTGCTTAGGCTGAAACTGCTGAGGAAACTGTTGACCTGCTTGTTGAACTGACTGAGGAAACTGTTGACTAGCTTGCTGTTGAACCGGCTTTTGAACCTGCTGAGGAAATGTTGACTAGCTTGTTGAACTGACTGAGGAAACTGTTGACTAGCTTGCTGTTGAACCGGCTTTTGAACCTGCTGAGGAAACCATTGACTAGCTTGCTGTTGAACTGGCTTTTGAACCTGCTGAGGAAACCATTGACTAGCTTGCTGTTGAACCTGCTGAGGAAACCGTTGACTAGCTTGCTGTTGAACTGGCTTTTGAACCTGCTGAGGAAACCATTGACTAGCTTGCTGTTGAACTGGCTTCTGAAACCGCTGGTCAGTTTGCCGGAACATCAGAGCTTGAGGATTCTGGGGCAGATCACTCCACTTCGGAACAGCATGACAGAAAGCACAGAACCAAACACAAAGTGCCAGAGACTGAACAGCACACCAACTTCCTGCCATTGTTCAACAGCTAGTCACACTGCTGAGATGCTGCCCTTTGGTCTTTTTGTACTCTACAGACTTTGGGTAATTAATGATAATCCCTCCCTCTTCATTAATAGTCATGATTCTCCAGACTTGCACTCCAGAGTGGGATTTTATGCAACTAGGTGATTCCATTTTTCTTGTTTTTCCACCCTTTTGAACATACATAAAACCACATTGAGCTGATTTCACAATAGTATGCTAGAACTATTTCTGCCATTTGAATTCAGCCTTATTTTATCCTTCAGTAGCTGAATATTATATTAGATGTTTTAGCTATTCTGGATTGTTTTATGGCAACAGGCCTGTATATTCAGGGTATGATTCAATAACAACGATGTACTAAAAACAGAAACGTTTTTCCGTTGATATTTTCGTGGGCGGACGACAACATAGGATGACCACCTCTCCCGCATTCTGCAGCGGGACAGTCCCGAAATTGTGAGTTTTGTCCCGCAAGACATAAATAGTGTCCCGCATTTCAGTTATGTCTGTATTATTATTCTTTTTTCCTTCCCTAAAATTACAATACCACAGTAAGAAATATAATAAAAACTGTGCCTGGCATTTAAAAATCTATTTGTGCAGCCATCATGTTCAAGTTGTGGAAATAACCAACCAACATACGCAATCGTAGAGAGGTTTTCCCGCTGACGACAACTAAATGGACAGTGCAAAGAAATAAGTGCAGGCCTCATCAAAGTCTGTAAACACAGCTATACCAGCAAGAATTTCATCTCACATTCTGGATAAGAACCTCAAGAGCTGCTCAAATTGATGATTTAAAGCATGTAATCATACATCCTGATGGCCACCTACAGAAATGGTCGAGCAACTACGGAAAAATCGGCTAAGCAGAGAAAGTTTAAATCACACCTGCTAGCGCACTTCTCAAGATGTTTACGTACTAGGTCAGTAGGCGGTAGGGTACACCATGTTTTGTGGCTGTTCAAACACATGAGCATCTACTCTATGAAAGCAATCTGGTCGAATGTGTTTGACTACCTCTGGAAGTGGCCAAAAATAGACAAGCTCAAAAAAAAAATTAGCCCCTTTTTACACCACAGTCCACTTGTGACCTGATGTACAAAAATGCTTCTAAGTACCAGGTGTAAACAAGGCCTTGGACAGCTACCTAGTTGGGATACAACAGTTAAGGGATTAATGCTTAAATGAAAGCAGTCTACTTTTCAATAAACATTACTGGGACTAGCCTGGAATAAAACCACCATCAACCTGCACTCATCCTTTATCCC